ATTTGAGTCATTTGTGTTTTTAATGCTGATGATCCTTTTTCTTCATACCGACTCACATTCATGTGTTTCATCTTTCAGGGTTTGATTCAGATTTCATTTGTTTACACTCTATCGGTTTGATTTGCGTTACTCCTAGCGAGTATGAAACGTTCCCACAACCTTAGATAGCATTCCCTACAAGTTCTAGTAATTTTCTTTAAAGTAAACATGTTAATCAAATGTGCAAAGAAGTGATAAATAATGTTCCTAGACATCAAAATTCAGAGGAAGTTGTCAGGAACACAGGTTATGTTCTATGATAACAAAGGAGGAACGTTCTCAAACCAACATTCAAAGAATGTTTTCCATATATTTGTATATGAAATGTTATTGTGTGTTGTTTGAACAAAGGTGGAACATTCTGCCTGCAGTGTTCTGAGGATGTTTTGGGAATGTTGTTGAGGAAACACATTACAGAACGTTCTTCTATAGAACATTTTCCCGGTGTTAAAAAAGGAGGAATGTCCTCAATGCAACATTCTGAAACTGTGAAGACATGACAGAGACCTGAGATGGCAGAGCATGAGGTGTTCCTGTAACGGTGTTTTTAAACAGAAGTGGAACATCCTGCCTGCAATGGTCTGAGAATGTTTTGGGAATGTTGCTGATGAACACATTATAGAATCTATACAATGTTGCCACAATGTTACATGACAACAAAGAAAGAATGTTTTCATTGCAACATTCAATTTCGTTGGGGTATAACATTCTAACAATGTTTATCCCCAACATTTTTAGAACATCTTAGTTATCCTGCCTTTAGGAAGAACATTCTAGGAACTAAAAGAAAACTTCCTGTTGGAAACATTAGAACAACTTTGCAGAACCTTATCAGCTGGGCTTTGATTTCTAACATAAAAGCAAAGTCGTCTTTTCTAACAAGATCTTCCTCGTCGTATTGACCTCAAGGTGCACATCAATCACGACGATGACGCACCATGAACTGAGGGGTCAGAGGTCACCGTTTAATCCTGTTGTTCAGCGGCTGTTCCTGCGAGGCCACACGAGTATCTACAGGTGTCATTACAACACACAGCAGTGGATTGAATCTATACCGGTGGACTCTGACCTGACCAGAGTTTCAGTGTGTGAACCTGAGGTCGGCTTGAAGGCTTGTTGATTTAGGTGTAACCTGCAGCTCCGACTGTTGAGATGAAGTGACGAGGAACGAGATCAGTTCAAGAGGAAGGACGAGATGAGACACGTCCGTGCGTAGGTTCTTGAAGTTTAAAGTTTCTTTGAAGCTATCAATCTAAAGAAAGGTGACACGAGTTAACGGGTTTTTTTTTTCCCTGCAAACAAGACTTTACTGAATCAACGCTCGTCCTTCAGGGCAGATGAATTAATGACATTACTCTGGTCATACTTGGGTATTAAACAAAAATCACTCTACAAAAAGGTTAAACGACGGCGTGAAATATTTCTTTAAGCTGAAAGGTAACATGAGTATTTATCACTTTTGCACTTTAATAAAATGTGTGACAAATTTTTGCATTTACTGAAGTGAAGATTACATTGGTAGTAAAGTTTAAAAAAAAAATACATCAGATGTTACGCTCCATATTCTTCACAATGCTTTAGGACATTTTGGTACAAATACATCTTTAAAAAAAAATAAAAAAATCAGTCTAGATGTGCACACAATTTTGAAAAACAAAGCTTCTCTTAAGAAAAAAAAGAACCTGGTGTTATTCTGTAGTTTCCTTATTTTTTTTTTTTAAATATATTTTTTTGGCTTTTGCCTTTATTTAGTGCAGTAGAGGGAGACAGGAAAGGGGGGGAGAAGAATGGGGACAGACCTGCAGCAAAGGGTCGTGAGCGGGATTCGAACTCACGACCGCTGCATCGGGGAACTACAGCCCCTGTTCATGGGCCGCCCACTCTACCAGGTGAGCCCTGTAGTTTCCTTATTAACAAGAATTCTCATAACGGTCCCAACTTAACCAAATATTATGTTGGTAGTATTTTCCCAATTTCAATTTCAAACCTTTTGAAAATAGTCCTTAAGCATGTTTTTTGTTGTTGTTGTTGTTTTCTTAAAGTCACAGCTGGTCACTAAATCCACACTTAGTGCTGTAGTGAGGATTCTGGACACACAATAATTCACTCTTCAAACATGAAATACACATCTTTATTCTTAAATTTAAGTAAATGTCCAATGAGGCGGGTTTGAGTCGCATCAGCCGTCCAAGTAGTGGAGACCCAGTTTAGCTGAAGGTGACAGGAAGCTGGACAGACAGGATGCTGAACAAACAGACCTTTTCTGTCACTACGGAGTTCGTGGCTTCTCTTTGACGCCTGTGGTCTCAAGTGTTAATAGTTCAAATTCCTCAAAATCAAAACAACATTCTTTTCAGTTCTTCACCTTTCTGAAGAAAAGGCGGTTTCCGCTGATGGAGGACGAAGATACAGGTGTGAGTGATGT